TGTGTGTGTGTGTGTGTGTGTGTGCGTGCGCGCGCGCGTGCGTGGTATAAATTTTTTAAACGATTTTATACTCAGTTTATGATGTATAATTTTATATTTTTTACATTGTAGGTAACAGTAGACATTTGGAAGACATTTCAAAACCAATTCAGAAAATAGTAAGAATTAGTAAATCTTATGTATATGTGAATTATAATTAAATTAAATTATCGTTTTTCTTCATTTTAATTTATATATTATAAATTTTTCCCTTTAACTGCACATTTCCTATACTTTTTATTATTGGCTGCACTGACTAATTTCGGAACTCGACAACGATCGTTCATCGACATGATCGTGAGAAAATTCAACTGCACTTGCCACATGCATTATTTTACGCGCGATAAATTCCGCATCGTTGTCCCGAACAAGCATCGCAGACACTCGCGTTTGAATTGACGAAATTGACGACGAAAGACACACTATGCATCTGCGCGGCAGCCGTGTTACGAGTCGCGTGAACCCCGTAGAACAGCATCACAACGCGCGGAATTTTCGAGGGATTGTATGATCTCCGCGTGTACCTACTGCCTATCAAAATACAATCTCGAGTGCCAAGATGACACATAATGAGTCAAAAATGAAATGCATACCTGACAAATCCGATCCAATTAGTCAAAGTAAGTTGGCTTTGTGTCCGAACAGTGAAGAACGAAAAGTTCATTCGCGGCCGATGCTAGACACTTTGAAGATCCATTGATTTCCTCCGCTTTCGTTTTCTCCCTTTACTGCACTTGAAGCACATTACACATACACATGAGATTCAATATACGCACGAAAATATACATTCATATAATTTTGACGAGCCATGTCGAAAAGAAACGCAAGATTCACCTCATTTACCCTCCGGTATTCCGCGAACACGGCTAACTTCGCGACTGTGCTCGATCATAACGAAAAACACGAAAGAGGCGATCGAGAACATTATTCGACAAGATCACAAATAAATCCTTCTACACGCATTATTTTACACGCATAAATGATCCCCTGTCGCTGTTGGAAACGAATATTGCACATACTTGTCGCGAATGCCTATTTAAACCGGCGATAATCCAACAACAAAGATCGAAAGACGTTAAGTCGCGCCGCGGCGATCATCTACTGCGCAAGCAGCCGTGCTCCGAGCCGTGCGGACCCCGTAGGATGCGTCACATGACGTCACAGCACGTGGCGCGTTCAAAAGCCAGTTCGGTTCCGGCTGGTACTGGTGTACGTTGCGCGACGTTTAATTCCGTTCAATGCGATATTTAATTCTTAATATACACGCCATTCATGTCCATTTCTTTTTTTTTTTTTGAAATACTAAAAGCACTTAGTGAAATACCGATCTCTTTTTTATTCTTAAAAAAAAGTTTGGCATCTAGAAAATAAGTTTTGTGTGTACCGGTCTTAATTCGTACGTGTCCTTTAATTGGCATAACTCCGAAGTTCATCTCCAGTCACAAATGACCCAAGGTGTGTACATTTTCTGTAACTAAAAAATTTTTATTTGTTTCTTTATTTTCAACTAATTCTCGATTGTATTGCGAGAATATTTCGAATTATAAAAAAAGAATTTAATCGTAAAATATATTTAATTTAATAAAAGCCCTTAATAAAAGCGATTTTTGGTAACTTTATTCTAAATGTTGCCAGTATATTATATATTATGTTGTCTGTTGTATTATAAAGAACATTTTCCTAATAAATTATAAATTTTTTTAACACAATAGTAATAATAAAATCCATTGTTTTAAAATGTATATGCAATATATCTTCAATTTATAGCCATTCATGCATATTAGAAAAATAATTTTTAGTTACTCAATAATTAAACTTTTTGGACAGCCGACATTTGAACTATTTTTTTTCTTGCAGTTTGGAATATCAATTTTAAGATACCGAACCATACTTTTCCTTTAAATATTTTCAGAATTTTATATTTTTATATGAAACAGTGCATTTTTTTTATTTCGTTAACTAAATATAATTAACTAAATATAGTTAACGAAATAAAAAAATGCACTATTTCATATAAAAATTACAATAATTTATCTACAATTTGTTATCAATATATAATTGCACAAATACTTTCTAAAGACATCAAAATATATGTAAAAATTGTTTAATGATTTATATATATTGTTATATGATGAAAATCAAGCCAAGACACGAATGACCGAACATGTGTAGGGTGCCAAAAATTAACATGTATATTAAGAGTCATTCTACACACTTGCATAACCGCATAACATATGCATAAAGAAAATCAACCAATCACATTTCTGTCATAAAGACAAACGTAAAATACGATTATACTAAGTATTAAACACCCTGTTTTGTTCTAAAATGACTGAATAGTTCAGTTACTTGTATTTGTCCACAATGCTGGAAATTATTTTAAAATTTTGGACAAAAAAGAATTAACAAATCATATTTGAACAATTCGGTTCACATAACCAACCCGATTAATCAATTCTTTCTCCGTCAAAGAAATTTCTACTCAACAATTGAGCACTCACTGTTATTGGTGTATTTTTTTAGATCATCCAATCAGCATTTTAGATTTGATAGAATACATCAATGGCAGCAAGCGCTCACTATTAAATTCGCTGAACGCAGCATTGTAGATACAAAAGACTGCTTTCAGTAGAGAAAGCAACTTCGCAACTGTTGTAAAATTCTTTAATATGATTGACTTATACATTTAGGTTCGTAAGAAACCAAAAGTAAGAACCAAGAATTTTACAACATTTACAAAGCTGTTTTTTTCTGCTGAAAACGCAGCCAAAGCTTTACGATATATTTTCACAAATTGCTCAAACCGACTGTATCAACGACAAAAAAGGCTTACGTGATCAAAATTGACGTTTGATATTCGTCAAATTTGGCTGCGTAGTTCTTTTTTGTCGTCGATTTATAAAAATTTGAGGTTCGTGAAAATGCACCTTTAGAATAGAAAATGCGCGCAATCTATACGTTCTACGTCTATGGAAACGGTGCTCGCTGCCATTCTGGCATTACGTCAATGGTGGAAGTCTCATTGGTTTGGGAGGAGTTGCTGTGACCGCCATTGTTACAACTCTTCGTCATATTACGGAAAAACGTAGTGAGAATCCGATTTATCCGCATTCCCTGTAGTGTGTGTCGAGGCCGAGGCGCCGTTTTCTAGGTGTTAACTTTCCAGTGAAGACCATAGACGGATCCATCAGCCGACGCATTCTCAGCGTAGCATGTCCACGATGAATCCCGAGTAGTGAGTAAACTTCCTTCTGCGCAGACATAAGTGTAACAAATTTGCCACTTCGTATAAATTATCAAGCGATAATATGGACATTTCCGTGATGAGAAAGTATCCATGTTATCGCTTCCGCGGGATCTCTGCTCGCTGTGTTAAAGAATAAAAAATACGACGTGTCCTTTGATTTTCATCATCTTGACAGATTTACCCTTCCCTCTCGTCGCTTTCCCCTACTACTCGAAACATGGCACTCTTGTATCATAGTCCATATTTCATCAGTATTTTTTACTGTTAGATTTTCACTTTGCATTAGCCGACCTTGGCTCTTTTCTCGTAATAGTCCTGAGAGGCACGTATAAAATGTTAATAAATTGACATCCTTTTTTTGAATTTTATTAGAAATTATATTTTACAAAATAGTTTTTCTAATTTAAGAGAATTTACCTTTAAAAAAATTTTTTTAAAGATTTTTATTTTACAAAATGATTTTTCTAGTTTAAATGTCTTGTGTTTGTATTAGTTGTAATTTTAAATTCTTTTTAAAGAGACATCGAATCATTTCTCTCTGTTTGTAAGAATGTTTACAAATTGTAATTTATGCTAAAATATTTTCTTTTTTCAGCGATTACCTATTTAAATTGCTTCTAATCGGTGATTCTGGTGTTGGAAAATCATGTCTCTTGTTGCGTTTTGCCGATGACACATATACAGAAAGTTATATCAGTACCATTGGCGTGGATTTCAAGATTCGAACCATTGATTTAGATGGAAAAACAATAAAACTACAAATCTGGGATACGGCGGGTCAAGAACGGTTTAGAACAATTACAAGTTCTTATTATCGAGGTGCACATGGTATTATTGTTGTTTATGATTGCACAGATCAGGAGACTTTTAACAATGTAAAACAATGGTTGGAAGAAATTGATCGTTATGCCTGTGATAACGTCAATAAGCTCTTAGTCGGCAATAAATGTGATTTACATACAAAGAAAGTTGTAGATTATACAACGGCCAAGGTAAACAGCACATATATATATACTCTTTTTTTATTACATAATTTATTTAAATATGTTACAGTCCTCATTACATAGCTATATTTTTTTATAAAGGAATATGCCGATCAACTCGGAATACCATTTTTGGAAACATCGGCAAAGAATGCAATGAATGTAGAGCAAGCTTTTATGACGATGGCTGCTGAAATAAAACTTAGAGTGGGCCCACCCTCAAGCGGAGCGAGTGATCCAGCCAACAAGGTGAAAATAGAACACGGACGTCCAATCGAATCTTCTAAATCCGGATGCTGCTGAGAACTATAATCTTGTGTCTCGTTTAACCAAAGTAAGCGAAATGAAATGTGTGTGTATATGTAAGAGTTTAATAGATTTACTCGAATGTGAATTATTAATTTATAGGGAACAATGACACATCTTTTTTGCAGAACATCTAATGTGGTTGCGGTCCGGGTACTGCAAAATTAAACTTATTACTGCAAGTATAAGAACATGGAAGTTTTAGTTTACTCCAACAACAAAAAAGAAGGAAAAAAGAATCTAACACACTCATGGACCACCAACTCTTTCTTCAGAGTTGTACGAAACTCTCGTCCATCTGCCCTAAAATTTCGTTTTTGTAGTTATCTTTCCAAAGAAGAAAAGACGTGGTTAATTAACGCCATTTTCTAGTATAAAGTTCGACTTTAGATAAATTCGTCGAATTAGTATTGATAATATCGAGCGAATGTAGATGTGCGTGTAATGGGAAGGACAACTCGGGTCTTGAGAAGTAAATTGAATATTACTGTGTATGGTGGTTATTACGATAAACACTTTAATTTTCTTTTTTAGCCTAATTGTAATATGTACAAGACATAGAATATGTGTTTGGCTCTATAGCCATTTCTATTTCTCTATACAATAATCCAGAAAAATTTCTCATGTTTTTTTTTATGTTTCATTCTCTATTTTCTTTTAGATGTGTAAAGGATTAGGTCATTTTTTTCCTAGGAAATTCCATATGCGATATCCTTTCTTTCTCAATAAAATATATACATATATGTATAATATATATACACACATATATATATATATATATGTATATGT